AAGATTAAGGTTCAAATATATGATTTGAAAAGTATATAAAAATGAAATAAATCTAAAAAGAGAGGGCATGACGAATTCAGAAGGTTAGAATTTCATAGAAGACAAAGAATGGAAGCATCTGACTCATTGGAAACGGTTTTTAGACATGTCTTTCAGTCTCTAACCATCGGTTACGTTTATCTCGCGGACCCCAACACGGTATTCTACACTTACCAACATGACTCAGTCCACCTACTTCATAGATTTGTCCCATGTTTCGTTTTGGCCACCTCTAGCTTTCTTTCAGTCTGTGACTACATCAGAAAACATCGCTCATTGTGGCAGTCGGTGGTTACGTATTCGTAACACATATCCCAGCCACCTCAACTGATGAAGTTTCACTACTGCATCAACTGATCTGCCATCCTAACCTAGAACCCTTTTCCTAACCCCAGCATTGCTAACGCTTCTAAGACACCTATGATAGAATACCAGTAAGTTACGAATATCCTCTACTCTTACTAACCATGTTTCACATCCATATAATAGGACATAAAGTACTGATGCTCAGTAAACCTGTTCTTTGGTTGGTAGAAGAATTTCTCACTTACGCCATTAGTGAGGTAAGTTAGCAAAAGACAGTCTTCTGCATCCGTGCTGAGATTTCGTCAGTCACCAGGCCATCGGCACTGATGAGACTCCCGAGATAAGTGAATCGGTCAACATACTCGACGACTACAACCCCTATTACTAGTTCAAGCGCCTACTCAACTCGATCCTGAAGCAAAAATTTGCATATCGAGGGGGAAAATTGCATCCCAATCATACTTGCATTATTGCTCAAGGTGGCTCGAAGACTGTGCACCACTTAATCAGTGTCATGTGCAGATAACAAGTAAATATCCTAGAAGGTCAATATCTGATAAGTTAAATGATGGGTGCTAGATTTAGAGCAAGTCAATAATAAAGCAGAATAAGAATGGGGAGAGTGGACAATCCTGAAGAACACCATTCAAGGTATTCAATTCCGATAACAGTTTGCCATAGGCTCTCTCTCGATCGGTATTATTCGAGTGAAGAGCCTGTGTAAGGTTAATGCACTTCTTTCGTACAACCTTCATTGACAGATACCGCCTAGAACCTCATGATCAACAAAGTCAAACGACACATTAAGGTCAAGGAATACAAATAATGTAGGATGCCTCAATGTGTGTTTGTGTTCTAACACCAGCAAAAGTGTGAATATGAGGTCTATACAGTCACGTTCAGGTCACAAACCAACCTGGTTTTCTCTAGTCTGCTCTTCATGAGTTCTAGTTAGGAGTCGAAGTATTAATGAAGCAAATATTTTAGGCACAATATTAGTCAAAGTGATTTCTCTGTAAATGTCACAAGAGGACTTCAGTACTTTTTTATAGATCGGGACAATCAGTGTTTGAGACCAGTAGTTAACTATTACGTCCGATTCTCAGATACTATCAAAGATCTCACTGCTAGGACTGGACCGCCATCCTTCAGAATTTCAAGGGTCAATCATGGCCACGCATGACCAGCCTCAAGAGGTTGTCCCGTAAGGTCTGCGGTAGATCAAGGCGAATCTACCTCGGTTTTCAGGTTCCTGAAGAGACACTCTACCACGGGGTGGAAAACCGGGAAAGTAACATCCGACCTCATACCCGTAACGGCACACGAGAACAAATCGGTCACAATCAAATCCTCCTTACACCTCCTAACATCTATCTTATCTCCACGACTCACCCACATCACCATGCATCGCCAATCCAAAAGATTCGAGTTCACGAAACGTTATTCCTGGTCTACTGAAACCCGGCTCTAAACTGCATATTGGAGACTTTAATGTTCGAACATGTGTCAAATAAAGCAAAAGGACTCCGGAATCTCGTACCATTCATGTGTGTTGACTATCCAAAACACGCATATAGGACCCAAGCACAACCATTAATTTAATTTCACATTTGCTAGATAAAGAATCGGCTCGGTTTAGTATGGTAGAGTATTAAGTCCTAGGGTAGAACTACTATCTCTCTTAGACTGGGTCCTAGTACCTATTCGCTTGTGAGCCGTCAGACTGAACCGGACAGTAAGGACTCGGAAAGGTAGGAACAATCGCCGTTGCCTCTTCTTCGAATCTGCTGACGCTACCGAAAGCAAGAGTGATGGAAAAGGCTGTTATTCATCCTCAATCCAAAAGATTGGATTGATGTGCAGTGCACTTTAGGGACCATTTCAACTGGCCTTCAGCCATTCTTCGGTTGCCCACGATCTCCAGTCCTCCTTAATGGCAAATCGATGTAAGTCCTCTGAGTCTTTATGAAGTCGGAAAAGTTATAGAAAATTTGAAGTGAGGGAGAGCAGCAGGCTATGATAGTTTGATCCCTGAGATTTTTAAGGATGGTGGATCAATTTTAGCAGTTAGATTGACTGAGATCTTAGGTGGAATCTGGGAACTGGACGTAACTTCATCCAACTGGTCTCAATCACTGATAGCCCCAGTCCAAAATAAAGGACAAAAGTCCTCTTGTGACAATTACAGAGGAGTCAGTTTGACTAGTATATTGCCTAAAATATTAGCTTCGATAATACTCTGACGCCTAACTAGAGCTCGTGAAGAGCAGACTAGAGAAAACCAGACTGGTTTCATGCCAGGACGTGGCTGTATAGACCACATCTTCACACTACGTCAGGTCGTAGAGCATAGACACACGTTTAGACGTCCTACTCTAGTTGTATTCCTTGACTTTAAAGCGGCTTCAAGGCATTGATCGTTTCTACTGGCATCATGGAGTGAGCAATGCAGTTGTTAGCAAACCAGTGATAAGTAAGGACTGCGAATCAATAGATGAAGTAGTGAAGCTTCATCAGTTGAGGTAGTTGGGACATGTTTCGAATGTCCAACCACTGACTGCCTCGTCGAGCTAAAACACAACTGGATTGAGTCATGCTGGTAAGTGTAGACTATCTGGTTGTGGGTATTCGATGGTTAGAGACCTTGAATGACATGATTCAAAACCATTTGCAATGGCGCACCCATTCCCTGTGCTCTCTTACATCCTAATCGGCATTCTTCTTCACCTTTATTAGTTTATTTTACTAGATTATATTTCTTGAATGATATCCTCGAAGCCTAACCTCTCAGATTACTGCTGATACTTCTCTACTACTATGGGATTCGAATAGACAATCGAGCTTCTGTGTTATGGTATGGCAATTTGAACTGATGTACGCACGCACGAAGTTCTACGTTGTAACTGAAGTGTAGTTGAAGACCAGTTGAGCTGCTCCCTAAAGTGTTCTGCCAAAAGTTGTCTACTGTTACCTAATGCCACAGCCTTTTCCATCTCATTTGTTTTCGTTAACCACTACCGTTCGCAACCATTGCTTGGGCTTTTTGTCAGTCCGCGCTTAAGCTGCCTCAGCTTCTAATCGTGTTCAGAGACAGACGGGATGAGTTTCCGAGCATCTACCAGTTCAGTAGATGCGGCTGAAATGCACTACTCCACAACATTCTGGCTTACCTTACTAGCAGATGTCATTGCTGCTTCCACAGCTTTTTGGATATCATTCCAAGATGTCTCAGAGTGTACATTACTTACATTGCTGCCTAACTGATTCTACAGTTGCTCCTGAAATATACTATTGGCTTTGCTAACGTTAAATAGAACTGTGAGAGGTTTCCTTGATATGACCTTCTTGCGTTCAGTATGCGGCAGACAAGTACGCGCTCGTACTAGAGCATGATCTGAATCTAAACATTTGCTCCAGAAGAAGCGGCAGTCTGCTATAGAGCCTTTCCATCAGTAAGTGATAGCGATGTGCTCTGGTTGTGTCGAAAGATGTTTTTTTGGTATGCATAAAGTTCGGTGTCTTTCCATCTTGTTTAATCTACCTACTTTAGTATTAAAAACACCAGCCAGCATAACTAGGTCAAAGCGCTTGGATTTTTGACGAAGGATAGAAAGCCTCCCGTAGAAATAATCGTTTACCTAACCTGAGCTGCAATCAGTCAGAGCGTAGGTAGAGAGAACGGTGTGTCCCAGTCTCTTTGAGTTCCAACATTTCGGTTTAGTCGGGCAGCATACAAGTGACTGCTTGCAGGTAATCAGCTTCAGACAGGTAGTTCGACTTTAGAAATCAAAGCTATACCCGTACAAGGCCACGAGAAGCCGCAGTGGGGCTTCCAGATATATGGAGCATAAACCTCGACGTCCCTTCACTTTGAAAAGGAGAGGCCATATGAATGATTATACTCGGACCCTGTATATGGGTTTTGGAGACGCAGAATACATCAGAAGCGCGAGAATCTAAAGTCCTCAGATTTAAAGACGCAGGTTGGTTAAGCAAAGGCAGTATTTCTACAATTGATGAATATCTGGAACTGTGGACGACCACGTCAGAGTTTTCAAAATAACAACAAGAAAATTCTATTTTATGGGGCTGAAACTTGAAGAACTACGAAAGCCATAATCTAACAAATACAGGTGTTTACTAACAGTTGTCTACGGAAGCCAGACACCATCAGTAACAAACCATCTTCCAGCGGAGGATACACATTGCGGAAATCCCTAAAACAGCATCACAAAGCAGAACTTGGAATCCTTAAGACCAAAGAACATATTGAACCGAGATTCGGAGACAGACATGAATAGTGATACGGGACACCTGTAAAGGACAACGCAGGATACGGTTGGTTGGAGAATATCGGTCAGAGACCTATGTTCCATGAGTGATAACAGGAGGAAGTGAAAAGTTTGTGTTTTCTCATAACTAAGTTATATAAAAAAGAAATACTATGTCTTTTAATCCACTGAAGATCTATACGAATAATGACGAGATTAGTTGGGAAATCGGTCTACATTCGATTGAATTATGTATCCCTTATCAGTGAAATCGTCTTCAATTAAACAAGTGAGTTGTATTTCTGCCCGATTCATTTACTTAACACGCATCTTAAAATCCTCTGCCACCCACTATCTATCTCTGCTTATAAAACTGTCGACATATTGATATATAAAATTGTAGATTCTCTCATACGTCTGATCAGTAAAAAAAAATGTTAATATTTTATATGTGAACAATTTTTCATCGATAGAACAACAAAACCTAAAATTTGTACATTTAAATTGTGAGATTATTTAGTAAGGAATTCATTGTTCTTTCATAACACAAAGAAATCACCATACATACACATGTTATATATATATATTTATATAAACTGGTGGTATATTTGACACAATACTTACTACAAGTGTAACCATTCAAGTATACTACTATCGGTTATTTGCTAAAAATTGAAATAAATGTGTGTTAAAGAAGTTTTAGAATTCTAACAATTGAATAGTAGTTATACAAAATTGAACACCTTGAATCACTGTTGAACCAATGTCCATTCTTCTATTTAAACTAATGACTTGTATTAAACATGAATAATGATTTTATAGAAAGAAAGAAAAAAGAGCGAACTGGTCAAATCAATGGTCGTTACTTCACAAAGAAAATTCAGAGAGAAAACACAAGCACGCACTCGTTCAGAATATTGAGAAAAATATCGAATACTACTCACAAGTAGTAGTGCGAAGAGAGAGAGAGCGGGCGAGCAAGATAGTGAAACAAATTAGTGAATCAAGACGGAATGATGTTAAAAAAAATGGTGAATGAACAATTATTTTCTTCTTTTATACAAAAAAAGTAATAAAAATAAATAAATATGAGACAATACAATGAATAAGGAAGATGTTGATGTTGATGATGATAGAAATGTGTTGTCGTTTAACGCGCGCTTCTAATCTTCACAGATGTTTCGGGAAAAAAAAAGACGAAAAAACAAGGCAGGACAAACAAACAAACAAACTATATATTAAAAAAAAAAAGACAAAAATGTCAGAGCTTTTCTGTGTTTTCTTCTCACCTTGTGATTGATGATAACAATGATAACGGAAGTCAGTCATTATATATTGTGTGTGTGTGTGTATGTGTGTGTTAGTGATTTACAATTTCTCTTGCATTGCCATTAGAAATCGTTGTTGTTCTTCTTGTATAGTTGTGATCACATCCCTGATAGACAGGTTATGTTGTTCACAGATTTTCAATTGTGCACTAACACCTTCACGTAATGCAATCATATGCGCTAAATCATTTTGTGATTTAGCTTGTTGAATTGCCATATTGAAATGTTTCAATGCTTCTTGGAATTCACCTTTTTCTACAGCTAATTGACCTAATAATTCATGTAGTAGTTCACATTTTGGATCATGTTGAACACCTTCCAAGAAGAAACATAATGCTGCATCACGATCTTGTTTCCATTTTAATTGTAATAGACCACGATGTGCATAAGCTAAGCCAGAGTCTGGTGCAAGTGCTATAAGATCAGCAAATACTTTGTCACTTTCTTTATAATCATTATGCTCGGAAAGAACCTGTGTGTGTGTGTCCAGGATGGGGATTCAATGACAAATGGAAGAAAAAGAGAACATTTTCATCATCATCATTATTATTTACGATAGGAATTCAAAAACAAACACATATGGCTTAATCAATTCAATCATGAATTTTGTTTTAGAGAAAAAAGGTTAAAAAAAACCCAGGCTTTTGATGTTCTATGTACACATATACACTCAATTCGAAGGTTTCACACACTTTCCACTTAGCTTGGCTATTGACAATCCTTCTCTCGAAGTTACGGATCCAATTTGCCGACTTCCCTTACCCCTACATTGTTCAAACTCATTAGTAGGATAAAACTAACCTATCTCATGACGGTCTAAACTCAGCTCATGTTCCCTATTAGTGGGTGAACAATCCAACGCTTGGTGAATTCTGCTTCACAATGATAGGAAGAGCCGACATCGAAGGATCAAAAAGCGACGTCGCTATGAACGCTTGGCCGCGCCACAAGCCAGTTATCCCTGTGGTAACTTTTCTCATACCTCTTGCTACCACCTCTAGTTAGAGTTCAGCTGATAAAAAATGCAATCAACAGTTAGAGACACTGAATGACATGATTCCGATGCATTTATTCTTTTGTTTTGGACTATGACTACTGTCTACTATTTCGGGATTTGCCTCATTTCACTATGATAACAGTGAAAAGTACAGTAACTTGAACGAAAGCGTACACATGTACCAGATGACACGTTGTGTTTGATTAACTAAGATAACATGTGAGCATATAACAATACTATTCATAACTAAAATAAGAGATCTTTTAGTGTGTGTATGTGTGTGTGCGCGCGAACTAAAGATGCAACACAATATGGAAGAAAAAAAATATTCAGTTAGCAAAATTATTTCGACGCATTTATTGATTTAAAGCTAATCTTCAATAATCAATACTTGATATAGATTACATAGATGAGAACACATCATTCATAATGATAACAACATACTGAGGCTTGATTAAAACAAACACTCAGTCACACACACACACATACAACCTAAGTTACATTTTATAAAGTGACTACTTGTTGTTTTGAAATTTGTTTTATCAAATGTCATAATAAACAATACAAGTCAAACATAAGCCTGTTCTGTATTATCAATGTCAATATGACATAAGTAATAACAACTAATCATTTGCCAAGTACAAGCCCATAATAATAATACTGCTTGAATTAATGTTGACAGTGATTTTATCGGGTTGTAAGGAGGATAAGAATAAAGTGAAAGCTCTCATTGTCAAATTTCATTTAAACAACGATATGGAATAAATCTATTTCAACTGATACGATTAAATATTTACGCTAAATAACTACTAATTATTTAATTAAACATATAATTATCATTATAGGGGTGTGAAAGTTGTTAGGTTACTTTGAAATAATGAATCAGTCAATGTTAGGCTATCATCACTAGGGACATGGAAGCATTGGACGGTCATCTTGTCCTGGTATGGCTCATCATTGGCAATTGCTCATCCATAACTACTGCTATCCACAGGAATCGAATCCAGGACTTCCGGTCTCGGACGCGAAACGGTCATCCAGTTCTTTCAGGTTTCTAATGATGATGATCTAACATTGGTCGATTCATGATTTCAAAACATAATTATTAGTAAAAAAGGCACCGAAAGATTTATGAACCAGCGAAAGCAGATGCCAAACCTACTTCACGTCCGAGACGCCCTATACCATATGCTGTTCATGAGCCTCACAAACTTATCGGTGGGGAAGCAGCCCGATCGACGGTTGTTTAAAGATATGGTTC